AGGCTCTCTTTATTCTTTTATTTCTTTTAGGTAGATTCTGTGGGGACAGATTGCCTGAAGCTCTTACCTCCGCAGACAGCAGAATGTGGGCTGAGCTTCACAGCAGCAGTAACTGGGTGGGACAGGGGTTTGCAGCTGCCTGCATAGGCAGGTCACACTGAGTTTTACAGGTGACTTCCCCTTAGATCTCTTAACAGAAGTGTCCTTTCTCTCAGTTTCATTAGAATGATCTTATTTTAATTATGAAGTTTCCTAACCTGTATTATAATGTTTATCAGGATGATTTTCATAAAAATCCCTGGTAAATTTAAATCCCAAGAACAGCCTGTTTTCTGGTACCAGTAATGTTGTAACATAAATGTACTCATCCAGGAAGTGTGGGGGAAAACTCATCAGGGATGTGTCAGAAACGGCAACAAATGGTACAAGAGTTCTTAGACTTCGGCTGTGTTTTCATGGTAGTAGTAATATATGAAGAAATAGCCACTTCCCTTTACTGAGCTGGTGTGTGTTTGATGCCTGTACTGCTGAAGTACCTATACTACTAGAAACTGCACAGTTCTGGGGCTTTGTCTAAATGAGAGCACAGGCATTCAAGAAGAATTTCCTAGATGGTTCACTCTATACGTCTTTAAAACAATAAACTGGCATCATGCTTCCTGGCTTTAAAAACAGCTCCCTTCTTTCCAGGTAATGTGTGGAGAAGACCCTTCTTGCTCCTGCCTCTGCCCGGATAATTTATTTTATCTAAATTAAGATAATTTAAAAGACAGAAGATTTCTTCTTCCCTTAGACTTTTAAGAGAACAGAGGCATTTGTTTTCGAGATTAACTGGGTGGCAGTGAAGAGGCTGGTTTGGATGGAGCCATGGATGTTGAGCACAAGGCCTGCTCAGGGCCAGAGGCCCAGGGAGTTCTGTGCAGCAACTTCACCTGAGGTTGAAAGACCAAAAGAAGCAGTTCAGGGAGTCACAGAACAAACTCACACAGAAGAAATTTACAGAATCTCTGAAAGTTTTTTAAAAGTAAACCAAAAAATGCTTGTTTTTGTAAAGATGTGAATTAACAGTGGTTACTCCTCTGCTGACTATTACCTATTGTTTATAGTTGAGTGGTTAGGCTGTTTTGTTTGTTTGTTTGGGGTTTTGTTTTTGCCAACTAAATATTTACAACCAGCCAACCTTGATGTTTCTAACCTGGTCTGTAGGTACTCAGCTACAGGCATGGAACTAAAATGTTACCTTAGAAGAAAATGAAAATGCATGTCTGGGTTTATTTACTTGTTTCTTTTGGCTTTCCTCAGCTGTTTATGGAGGTGAGATACATAAAAATGAAGGAAGATTCATTCTTCTAACTAGCCTGATGACTACAGGCTCAAGAAAGAACGTGTATGGAAAACAGCAGTGACAGAAGGCTGCTATGTCAGGCCGACCTTTCAGGCCTTTGAGGTAAAGTCCCTCAGGCAGCCTTCCCAGGGCACATCCTCCATAAATGACTGTACATTTAAGGGGATCCTCATTAAAGAAACAAAGAACTAGAGAAGCAGCTTTTTAATCAGCGAAGACGCAACGGATTGCCTATAAAATGTAACATTAAGAGTGAGGAGGGATTTTTTTTCTTCTTTCCTCTTACTGCAGACATTTTCAAGAAGATTAAAGTGAATTTACATTATCTGTGCTTGTTGAATTAGAATGTTTGAAGCCCTGACAACAGTTT